TGACAAAACATACAAAACAAGTAGAGGAAAATGACAATAGTAAGGATCAGGAAAGAAAAAGCAGCAGTTCCCTGTTGTAGATCAGGCACAGTTATGAGCGTGACATGAGTCAGCCCATTTACAATTCTACTATGCTTGAACGAGAAATGTTCCCCCTTTGGGAATGGCCTAAAGACACTACAGTCAGTGGCACTGCCTCAGGGGGTCAACCAGAATTAGTAGAGTGGGAAAATGATGACTCACTACGGACCATAGCCCTTTCTTTGAAGGTCACTGAATGCCGCAATTTTTCCGGCATGTATTGAATTGACGCGCATTACATATTAGTGCCGTTGGCAGCGCATTTGTCAGTCGGGGATCAGTTTGGAGTTTACAGGCAATTTTCTCGGATATTGTTTACAGTTTTCAAAATGTCGGATTCGTCAGCTGATTTAGACACAGAGTTGCCCAACATTTTTTAATAATCGGATGACAGTGATGAAGAGTTTTAAGTATGAGGTCCTCAAATAAAAAATTTACTAGTGAATGATGGGGATATAACGTAGATCTAGCGGGGTTAGGCCTAGAAGGGGACGTCGATATTCCTGCTCTTCTCCAAGCAGGCTGGACTAAAAATGATGAGGATTTTGATACCAACAACAACATCATAAAAAAACACAGCTGACCAGACATAAGGGTAAAAGTTCATTATTTAAGACACATTTTTCCTTCTTACTGTAATAAGAAGTTATGATAAATAAGAAAGATATGAGCTTTTTTTATAAACCACGTTGAAAATTAGCATTTTTCTAAAATAAACCAGCACTGAAGGGAAGTAATAGTAAAAAAAGGCTTAGCCCTAAGAGGGTTAAGAATATGTGGTCAGCGTGACTAAATAACGGCAAAGCTTTCTTTGAAGACTTTAGACCAGGCCAACCTTAAAATATAAGTTAATACAATCTAGCATGCCGTACAATTAAAAATTATTTTTTCCCGCTTAGACGCGAACACCCCGAGGCGAGATAAGCTTGTCTCGGAATGCCCCCATTGTGTTGACATTGGGGAACAAAAAGAAAAACAACCGGATGCGCACGCCCGCCCATCATTGCCCTATTTCAAGTGACCAATGAACGGGCTCCGGATGGTCATGCGGGGATTCGTTGGTCACAAACATTTGATCGTATTTTTATTCTCGGCTGTAGTTATTCACACAGGGTGTGTGAATACTATGGGATTGTATTCGCCTAGGGTGTGCGAATACTATGAAATTACATTTGCACAGGGTGTGTGAATACTACAAAATATTATTGGCACAGGGCGTTTCAAAAGAAGGATGGTAATTATCTAGATCTAGCATTTCCTCATTTTTCCTTTTTTCATCCTCTTTCACATAGGGACAAAGATCATGGATCACAAGACAGTTGGCTCCTCTTTTTGAGCCAAATAAAAAAGTGTTCTCAGAATTTGGTGGCGCCCTCTTCGAAAAAATGCGGACTTTGCAAACAGACGCTACTTGGACTTGTGTGAAAAACAATAAACAAAATGACTATTAGGACTCGAGTCCGAATATGAAAAAACGTTATTCGGACTCTGATTCTTGTCCAGCATGACATCACTTCCGACTTCTTGTGACTCGTGACTCCGGCTTCTTGTCCTGCCTCACTCGTGACTCGCCTCAGGCTGGGCAGAGACTGGGATCACTTCGGGCAAAATGGCGTTTTGTGCAGGAGCCGAGTTTTTATCTTATGATGAATTTGAGGCCGGCCTGAAAAGTTATAGTGCTTCTTATAAATGTTTATATGTCAAGAGGTCATCAGAAGCAATCAAAGATGGCTCGTTAGCATGTGTCGGGGTCGGATGGGCGGCCTGCACACGTGTGGCTGTGTGTGCGTGTCGGGGAGGGGGCATTATCGGTCCGGGCGTTGAACGTCGTATACATTCCCCCGGCAACTGATCATTATTACAATAATAAGCAAGTCTTGACGTAGATCTACGTAATGAATTGAGCACTGGTCTATGGAATCAAAAGTTGCTGTATGCTCGGCTCTACACAGCAACACAACTTTTTCTTGGTAAACAATCGAGATGACACAGGCTTGTGTATTTGAACGAATCTGTCTT